CTTCTAACTCTGAGAAATTTGGTTGTGATACTATTTGAAACTGGAGCAGTGCCTGCTTCCATGCTTTCTTTCGCAACTCGAGTCTCAGAGAGAATTCCAGTTTGTTATTTTCTAGCTGGGATTTTAGTAGTCTGGAGAGGGATCGTGGAATTGAAAAGGTCCTGCAAATCTTTTCCGTTATAAGCTCTGTATCATGGTGGGACTTTGTAATGATTCCACTTTTGTTCAGCAGGAGGTTAGCAGAACACTATAGTGGCAAGGATTCCAACATCAGTTCTTCAGATATCATAGTTTCGGGGCTACTTCCAACAACCTTTTCTGCCCATCCTTTCGTTCTATTGATTGTTGAGTAACTTGAGCGGGCACCAGTAAATCTTCTATTTCCCCTTGTTACTCGCAAAAGAGGCTTAGTTGGTTTGCCTACGCAAGGGACCACTTAAGCATCATATTGTTCTTCCACGGTCTTCTTGAAGAACTCTGACCAACGGTCGGTGATCTTCCTGCAGTGCGTTTAGCATCCTTAGTAATCCAGTCACTATCGGCTCTTGCCGATCAGTAGTCGTTCATAAACATCACCTGTCCGGCCCTTTTTTATCTTCAACAGTTTGGCATATAGAACGGCGTCACTGATTTTTTGATATTGATATAAATCGGAACTTCGAATCCCTTCCTTAACTTGCGTAGTGCGGGATACTGCTATCATCGTTCCTTCGACTACGCCTTCTACAACGTTGAGTGGTCTCTCATCCTGCTTAAGCAGCGGTCAGGTTTCTGACGCATACATTAGGGTAGGAAGTACCGTTGAGTCGAAAAGGTGGGCACGGAGTCGGGTGTTCTTCGCCCTCGTAACTACATCATCTGTGCTCTTAACGGCGCCCAAACTGCTTGCTTCCTCTTGCTCAACTCTTTAGCTAAGTTTTCAATCATGTTGATTTACCGACCCAGATAAAAGTAAATGGAGTATTTGAAAATATTCGTGCCGTTCAGCGTGAAAGCTCAAACCACTCACTGTTCCGCACGAACATGGTTTTTGTGAAATCTAGTTGGAGACCAATCCTACAAGTGTTATCAAAGTCGGCAAGTATTCGTACCGTATGTCCAATGTTTGGTGTTATAAGAACGATTTCATCACCAGAAGAAAAATGGTGTAATTGGCGAGCATCGATTTTTGCTCCCATTTTGTCACATTCCAATTCTCGCATGACGTTCTCGAGGATTGCAGTAAATATTTTTGGCGAAGTGAAACTGTCTTATCTAAATCCTCCTTCGACGTCGATATTAATATGATTAGAATACCGATATTTTGGCTGCAAAACTTTTATACAGGTCGCGAAGAATCCTTATGTACTGCATAGAGACGCCATTGTTGTCCAGCGCTTCCATGATTGTTCCTATTTCAGCTGAGTTAGAAGCCTTCCTTAAATCGGTGAATGTGGGAGAGAGCGGTCTGTTGTGCTCCCGAAATACTTCAATTAGCCTTCTCATCGTCCCGATGTGGTCCATCGCACTAAATCCTCTTTGAAACCCTGCTTGTTCACATGGCTGTCTCTCCATCGCTCAGTGTTCTGTAAATCTTGTTTAGAATGACTCGAGTGAAACGTTTACATACGGCGGACAGCAAGTCGACTTAGTGATAGTTGTCGATATTGTGGAGGTTATCCTTCTTGAACAATAACACCGTTTTGCTGCTCTTTGACTGAATAAGAACCTTGCCTTCTGACAGGTGCCGTGTGAAGAGCCAACCCAGTGTGCTGATAAGGGCTAGGGGAAGGTTTACAAGTTGTCCAGATCTCACACTGCCCAGATCAGGTGTTGTTATTCTATTCTTCACCGACGGAACAGCATGTCGAATTTCGGGAAGAAGTACCGGTCTGACGACATATCCATCATTCTTTATTTCATATGAAGGAAGGTGGGCTTGGCTATCGAAGAGATCTGAGTAGTATTCGTGAATGATTTTCTCCATTGCCTTTCTGGACGCTGTAACTGTTCCGTCTGGGCGTCGGAGTGCAATCATCTTGATCTTGTAATTGGCGAAGCTTTGGAGGGCTTTGCGAATGCTTTTTCCAGCCTCTGCAGCTTCGATTATTACTGATTCTCTTCTCTAGATCTTCTTTTATCGCCTGTTTGCATTGTTTTGTAAGTTCGGACGTTAGTTCGCGATTACCTGCAGCTCGTGCGATTCCACGCTGACGTATCAGGTCGAGTGTTTCTGGAGACAGACGTCTCTTGGTGACTTTCGAACCCCCATCTTTCGTAGCACTAAAGTGTTGAATGAGCCGGTCGTACTCTTCGTCGATGCCTTCAAGAACGGCGTCTTTCCAAAAGCCGACTAACCCATGTGGAATTTTGGGACAAAAATGACATTGGTTAGGCAAACCTTTAAATTTGCTGTGATTTGATACTTTTGTTGCATTTGGAACCACTCGGTGTTGTTTACGTGTTATGATTTACCACGAATAGGTTTATTTCGTTGTTGTTCTTTCCATTATAGGATTCCTATGTTTACTAAGTGGAGCTTCTGGAATTGCGAACTACCATTAATGGTCTTCGCCGTTGTGATAAACTCCGACAACCGCTCACTGTGCCCATTCCATTCCGATCCGTGGCTCCCAATGTGGCGCCCTTCAGACGTTCTTCTGGATTCAGTACTAGCGTAGAAATATCTAATGATGTTCTCAAGAAATGTGTGGGTATCTCTCCAAAACTTCTCCATGTCCATATAGAAAGCATCGACTTCGTCTTCGTCACAACTTGACGTCGATACGTAGACGACGATGATTGTCAAACCGTGTATTGACTGGCATCTGTTCAACCTAGAACCCCCGATTTGCGTTGTTAGTTGTTCGAATGAGCCGATATTCTTGGATAAACTCATGTTGACAAGAACGTCTACCCCACCAACTCCTATACTCTGTCATGTTCTGAGGTACAGTTCTTCTCCTACGTCATGGACGGCGTTAATGGGGTGACGCCTTCTTATCTCAGTAGGTACAATAACGTCGTACTTTTCGTTCTTTTTTACTTTATCAAGTCCTTTATCGAGGACCCAGATGCAAGCGAGCATGCATTGCAAGCACTAACCGTCATATTAGTCCCTCGAAATTTAGGTAAATTCTAATGGCGGTGAGATTTTAGCCGTCTCTCCGTACTCATCCAATCCAACGCTACCACACCAACTTTATTATGTTCATCCTTTGAATTGCACTTATATCTTGTTGTACTCTGAACGAAAGGGTTGATATACTCATGGGTGTCAGTTTCTCCCAGAAAAGACAGGTTAGCTTATTTGTTGGAAGCGACTCCTATCCTCCTCCCATATAGTTCCCAGTGGCTTGATTACTTGGGCTTGGACGAATAGACTGGCAGTTTAGTACAAATTCCACTAATCTCAGCTATTCATAGTTGTACACATTTGATGTTTTGAAACTCATTTTAAATTTTCGCGCAGCTGCTCGACATTGTTGGTCTCTTTCTTTTGTTATTATTATATTAGCTAACTTTTACTCCAAAATTTAATCAGCAAGGTTTTGGGACTGATGTAGCTACAACATAGCTACAAGCCCTTCGTGGTGATACACCTCATTCAGGAACACTTCTGCTTCAAAAATGGCTCCATATAGTTGAGCATCGTCAGAATTCCAAGGCTACAAATTGTGGACGGGAAGGAATCAATCCGAAAAAGAAACAATGTGGTTGTAGCAGTATGATCATCAACCAAACGATGAAGCAGATTTATTAAAAAATGACAATGGACAACTATATGGGCATAATTTTGTAGCTGTTGCGTTATGTGCAGTGAACGAACACTCGCGAACCAAAAAAGGACCATTGTTATTCAAGTGAACAAAGGAGCTGCAATTTGGAGGTGATCAGTTCATAATCTACTGCTAACATCAATTTATCGGTAGCACAATGATAGAAGCAGAATGATATATTTTTGGTCTAATAAGAGAACTCTGAAATTCTTTAAAGGTCCAGGGTTGCATCCGTTATTTCAACGATTTCACAAAAAGCAATGTTGACACATGGACCAATTGGACGTTAGGCATTTTATTCTTTCAGTTTTACAATGTTGATTTTTTATATACTGCCTTTAACTAGCATTCACGGCAGAGTATTATTTGTGAAACAACCACAACGATGCTGAGATATTTGTAAAACTCCGTACCGCAGGTGTCTATGGTGGAGAACGAACGCGCTATTGTCATTTTCGGGGAGTAATGCGTTCACCACTTCACCATGCAGGCTCTTCGTTTCGCCTGTCTCTCAGCTAGTTTTATCGATCACGGCCATCAGTAATCACCCGTCAACGGGATTGATCTAGGAAGTCCAAATCGGCATTGAACCCAGTTAAGCTGAGGCTATCCCCTGAAAGGACAATAACGCGTTAGTTACCCACCGTAGACACCTGCGGTCCGGAGTTTTGCAAGTATCTAAGAATCATTGTGGTTCCTTCAGTTTTAGTTCAGTATTCCAATTTAATTCCCTGTGTCCATTTTTTCCACACATTTTAGTTCGTAAATATTTATACAGCTTGAAAATTAATATAATCGAACGGCATTAACGTATAATAATAACTTATATACACACAATAGAAAGAATGTGGAGTTAACCAGAGAATGGTCATATCAATTTTAATCGTTGACAATAAGAAGACGTCCAACACTAAGGAGGAAATTTTATTCGTAATACGACTAGATAGCAATATCATTAATTCATTTTGAAAAAGCTAAGCTAATCCACAACTCTTTTTTTGTGTGCAGTAAATTTTGAACCACACCACATTTTCTTCTGGCCTAAAAACTTGGCGTAAAAGTCCACCATCAGAAAAAGAAGAAAAGAAAAAGATTTAAAAACCACGCGATGATAGTAGCAGTCGAATTATAAACAGCACAAATGGCAATTGCACTGTGAAAACCAAACAAAAAAAAATATACCTAACCCTAACCCCTTACCTAAGAACGCGGAATTTGAGAAAGAAGGATTCACGGAGCGAATCAAGAAAGCGTCCTTAGTACAGTTTCAGAAGTGGGTGTTGTTTCACCGTTGGACTTCGGTGAGGATGTAAATCGTCGACTATGAAACCAGTTGTTGTAGACACGATGTCTTGCATCTTCCTTCAGATGTAAACAGATTTGCTCTCTGAAATTTAGATGAATATGAACCGTTCTTGAACAGCTGTTTTTATTACTAATGTTTTCCCGCTAATATATGATTCATGACGTCTAATGGATGCAGCTGAACAGTTGATATTCGTGTTGACCGAAAAAGGTTTATTATTCACAATATCTCAGTGCACTTATTACAACCCTACATGTTCTGATCTGAGCATCGAAGAACTTCGGCACAGACTAAAGTTGATCTTGAGCAACTTAACAAAACAAGTTTTTTCCACTTTAACGCTTCAACGTGACAACGTTTTCACCCGTATCGATACGGAAAGTAGCAGAAGAACAGTCACAAACCGCAAAAGGATGTAGAAATATAGTAGTACAGAGTGTTCTTCAAGATATAAAGGCTTAAGTGCACTTTTAGATGGATTATCATGGATAGTGTACTTTTTTCATGAACTGTTAGCATTCTATAGATAAATCCATTTATGATATCCATTTCCTTACCGTGGGTTGTATACTAGGGTGTTTTTTTAGTCCGAAGGGATAAAAATCCAGTGACAAAACAGCATCACTAAGCGGACTTTACACACCTGCTTTAGCAGTTCTTAATAACTAACGCTGATATGGCAATGCACAAGGAAGGCACATAGAGGCAACTTAAGTCTTAGAGTGACATAAAGTTGACAAAATTGGAACGGGCTGTGGTGGTGATTTATGGTTGTGACATCTGTGTACAGACTCGTTAATGTATAACTGATGGACCAAGATAACGAGCTCAAATAGGACATGACCGAATTAAAAAGGAAGAGAAATCACCTCTGTTAAAACACTGCTTATGGTGATAAACATCAAAGACCTCTTTGAACCTATGAGGAGTTACCATAGAATCCTCGGTAAAACGAGCACATTGTAACCATCAATTCTTTCAAAAAAAACTTACTATGACATTAGGAAGTTTACACTGGCAAAGATGTGGTCTGCTCCGAATACCAACACTTTTGTCAGCATCGTCGCAACATTAACTTATAACGAAGACGAGGACTAAGGATCTTATACGCACTTGGTGAGGTTCTGCCAAGAACATTATAGTGATCGACGACACCAGTTCGAAGATCGACTACGTCGGATTAACTTCACAACAGAAGAAACCGACTAAAAGCAATAAACAGCTTGGCAAGGAGTATAGCAGCCAGAAGTTCCCGAACTCCTCCTATCTTTGCTGAAAGCGGAGCTTTTCGAATGAAAAATACTGTAACGAACATCGATTTCAAAGACACCGGAGCAACATCTCTTTAGTGTGGGATTTTTTTGTCGTATAATTGGGAGAAAACTTTGTAGTAGAAAAAGGAATTCTGAGGAAACGCAAATTGGTATTTTTGGGGTCTGTTAGAAAGCTATTGTGATCGAAAAGGAATAACGTTTCAAAAGTTAGTAAAAATTGCCGCTTTTTCCACAGTTTCACCGATTCGAAGGTCTTAAATTCTTTTGAGATGGAAGTAGATTTCTCTACTCATTACATCAAGACCCTTTATGAGCATTGCAGCGATTTCAATATCAAAATCTTGCCGCCGTCGATGACGTCATTTTCGATGTGAAGAGAAAATTTCGATAAGGGGACACCATTTCGCAAAATCTATCTAGCGCCACATCCGCAAACATCATCGGAATAGGACAGAATAGGAGTGCAAGTCGATAGCGCCCATTTGTATACAACGAAACAAAAGCACGGAATGCTTCACGTAAGTATATAAGTATTGGGAAGTCAAGACGACTTTTGAATTGGCTGCAAGAGAGAACAAAGGTCATGTGGGGCCTACGGCAGCATTGAAAGAGTGGCAAAAAAGTGGAAGAACACGCAATTCCTAGCCCAACTTCTCAACTCGGGGATTCTTTCTTTCCTGAGATATGCCTAGGAAGCCTGAAAACAACGCTAAAACATAGAAATTAGATAAACAGTTAGCAAGTATGGTCATAGTTAATGGATACGTTAATGATAGGATGTTAGTTCTGGCGCGCTGAACACAACGAAAAAAAAGACGAAATTCTAAGCAACAACGTTTTACTTCTTATTTTCTGCCTACTACAGTTTTCACAGCAGGTACTAAACGAAGTACAACCACAATGTTGCTGAGATATTTGCAAAACTCTGGACCACAGGTGTCTAAAGTAGGGAACGAACGCGTTATTGTCCTTTCCGGGGAGTAACACCCTCACCACCACACTATGCGGGTCCTTCGTTTCGCCTGTCTCTCAGTTAGTTCTATTGATCAGTGCCATCAGCAATCACCTGTCAACGGGATTGATCTGGGGAGCCCACATCGGCATTGAACCTAATTAAGCTGAGCAGATCAAACCCGTTGATGGGTGATTGCTGATGGCCCTGATAGAACTAGCTGAGAGATAGGCGAAACGAAGGACCTGTATGGTGTGGTGATGAATGCGTTACTCCCGGAAAGAACAATAGCGCGTTCGTTCCCCAGCTTAGAGACCTGTGGTCCAGAGTTTTGCAAATATCTCAGCAGCATTGTGGTTGTATTCTAACCAACGCGAAAAATAAGAGTTCCTGCATGACGTAAACGGCATTCTAAAATGTCCGAAATCAGGAAGTATGCCTTACGTCTGAGTGATTCACTGAATGTCAAGTACACAACATGAAGACTACCGACTGTTGGCGTTCTACCAAATCAGCAACCACAAAGAGCGCACGTGGGACAAATAACAAGAGCTGTGTTGTCAAGAAGTGTCGCTAAAAAATGCATGCAGACGTGAAGATACTTGTAATTTACTGATAAGAATACTGGATCCAGAAGCGACTTTAAGCAGAAAAGGAGTGAAAACCACAATTGACAGAAGTTAACTTCCTATGAGCAACTTCAAACGGGTCTATGCAATCTCTGACGCCTAGGGACCGAAGCTGATTTTTTACAAACAGCTCGTAATTTTTGGATAACTAGAAGATCGAGGAGTTGAAAACGTAGTCAGATTATAGAAGACACTTTATTCTTCCTATTTAAGAATAATTATGGTTTTTTCAACTGTTGCTTAATTGCTAGAGTTGTTTAGAATTAAAATTTCCAAAAAAAAAAATGAGAACGATGTTTAAATTCCCAAATTTCCAGAAGAAATCTTGGTAGTCATGAAACACCAATCAGGCGTCTGGAAACATCGTCGAGTTTCAATGGACGAAACATTACTTCCGCTTTCAAATAGAAGCACCAGCGAGAAGAGGGGACAAAAGTATAATTTCTTTCACCATAAAATTGCACTTCGACCATGATAGAACAGAAAATATTGTGTATTATTGGTGAAGGTCTTTAGATCTTAGTGGTTCTTAATTCAATTAATAAAGTTCATTTCGATTTGAGATATGTTGACTTAAAGTCGAAAGTGGCTGTTATTCTCTGAGCTTTTGAGTGGAAACCAGCTCAAGTCGGACCATAAAATGTTAAGGAATACGTTCAAGCCTCTTTACTACTTAGCAAACATGCAAACTATTATACTACTGCCATTTCTGTTGTACCTTGTTGGCGAAGCTCGAGGAGTGTGCGGCTCGGCAGCTTTCCGTTTCAACCATTCGCGGTACGCTGCTTCGGCCATTTCCCTCTTCTCCTCGTCGTCTTCAGTCGACGTTCGCGCACGTGTCACGCTCTTCAAAAGCGGAATAAAATATGTGGCAACTGCTAGAACAGAATGAATATTTTTAAAACCATCAGTACCTATTTCAGATACTAAAATTTCAATCGTTACAACTGTACGATTTACATTTGCCGATACATTTAGTTATTAAAGACACACTTGAAATATTACACAGAAGCAACCTTTCAAAGATGTTAAGGTTATCCATACATAGCGAAGATTAAGTGTGTTAGTGCAATTGTCAAAACTATAGTAGTAATAATAAGGTGTAGAGGAAACGCCAAGCCCCAAACGACAACTCTAGCGATAATAACGTCCCGTTTATCCTGGCCTTCATTTCAAACGAAATAAGTGCAGCTATAAAACGCTGCTTAGGAAAATCCGATCTAGAGAATTCGGCAACGATAACTAAAATGGCATCCAGTAAACTAAGACGCCAGCTAATTCATAACCGCCTATATGACCGCCTATCTGCAACTCAAAATTGCATAATGTACCCTAATACAGTGAACTTCTCTCTGGAAAAGTTCTCTATCTTCCTAGACAATAGTATTTGATGTCCATATATGGCCGCTTCGCAGTCGCACATCAAACACCGCAATGTAACTTTTGTAATCTTCTTGATCAATTATGTTCAGTGTTTCAGGCACAATAGCGATTCAGATTTGACTTCAGTAGCACACCAACGATGGCTTATCCGAAGGAGACGTAGCAGTGGAACAGTTTACTACTTCCTTGTGAAACAACGAAGTCAATGACGTTTGATGTTTCAGGCAGTTAGGTACAGTCTGCTGCAGTCCAGGACCAACAATCCAGATTAGCCGCGGTCGCATATGCACGCGATTCCCGCAGGCAATATATAAGCCAGGTGCCTTCGACGGCGGAGACATGCCATCACTCACCTTACCCAAGTTTGAGGATGGTAGGTCAATACAACAACTAAAAGACCGGCGTGGCTAATACTCTACATCAATTTGAACCGCTACACTTCGCCGCTAACCATTTCGCTACATGGTGCATTGGCCTGTAATCGAACTCGGGTCGCCCGCGTGGCAGGCGAACATTCTACCACTGAACCGCTACACTCCTCCGCTAACCATTTCGCTACACCTAATAGCTGAGACGATGATTGCATGAGTTCGGGTACAGTCTACCTGATCGTGCGGGACGAATACATTAGCTACTCTGCGTCCGTATAAAAGAACACCTAGTAGGTAAACTTAAACCAAAGGCTTCACTAGGCACGCATAGGATGCAGAGATATAGCGGAGAGAATTTTGAAGTAGGGGTTACGATCCTCGCACAGGAATCGAAAACACAAGCAAGCAAAACTCTCGAGGCCTTCTGGACTCCAAGAATCGGAAAATGAACCGCAGAGAAGAATTCCTCATTATCACGCTTGATATTGGGCAGTATTTAAACCTGTTATTCTAATGGGAGAGGCACATTACGATTCGATGTGAACTGTGTGCGGTTGGTCTCCACGTGACATGTTCAGTGGAAAACTTATAGGAAGCGGTGAGTGTGCAAAGAAAGTATTCTGTGTTCAGTGTGATTCAAATTTTGGTTTAGCACTTTCTTTGTTTGGGTATGAAGGTGTTTGGCCGGGTAGATTGCAGTCAACTTAACCTTTCTAGGCTTTGTGGAAGGCGAAATCCGCCGAAACGTCAGCTTGTGCGTAAATGAAAAAATAATAACACCTCGTGTTTGCTGAACAAGAACGTAAAGAATTGTTCGACCAATATCGAGGTTAACAGAAAGTCGGTCGTGGGAGTTATAGTAATAAACTCGACAGACAATGGAAAACAAACGAGAAGACTTAACCGAGCTCTGTTCACTGAATCTACGTGAAACTACTAAGAAGCCATTGTATGCCACTTTTAAACTAAAACCTTCTTCAGTAAATATATATATATATATATATATATATCCAAGAACCTCCATATAAGCTTAATCGGTGTGCGAAAATTTCTTTTTGGCTTATTTTTAAATGAAATATATCACAGATGGAGGTTCATAAATCTCATTTCATATCACAGGAGCCTACTTAGGGTGTAACCCTTTCTATAAGGGAGTGAGTAATCACACATATATAGTCGTCTGCTCTTGTTTCACACCAAAGCTTATAGGCAGGATTTGTGCTCTCGAAAGAATCGAAGAATAAAACACTTTTCGTATGACTATTTATAGTGATTTTGATAAGGTAGTTACCATGCCATGCCATACCCTGCCGAAGAGACGGGTGGCCACAAACATCAACAACGCGTTTGGAAACATCATCGTGTTCTAATAGACGAAATATTGCTTTCGTTCTCGAAATAGAAATAAAGAAGAACAGGCGACAGATGGGGCAAAAGAACTGAAGAGTGAACTCCACGAGAATGCAAGCAAACGTCCTCTAGGACGGCGACCTACACGTTGAACGGACGTGCTCGTAAACAATGTTAATCAGCTGTACCCGCAGCTACAGTTGCTTTACAGATCACGGTATGAGACTCGCACGCGCTACCATGCTCGAACAAAGCCACCACCATCGACGACGATTGCCAGAGAAAGAAAGAATGACGAATGTACTGGGGTCCACACAACTCGTGAGGATGTACCATCCAAGTATCCAAGTAACTAGTAGGAGTCAATGAGAAAAAGGGGATAAACGTACTGTTTATTGAAGGGATATATTTAGAGAGCACCCATATAAGCTTCTTCAGTGTATGAAACTTTCTCTTTGCCTTTTTTCAATAAAATATATTACAGATGGAGTTCACTAATCTCTTTTCTAACCACAAAAACCTATTTAGGGCGTAACCTTTTAAATAAGAGAGTGACTCTACAGGGTATATACAGTCTTTATTTGCTCTTGTTTCACACCAAACCTTATAAGTAGGATCCATGCTCTCAAAGAAAGCGAAGAACAAAACACTTCAGACGAACTACATTATTTCAAACGATTTTGATGATAAGGTAGTTACTATTGCCATACCATGCCAAGATAGGTATACTCATGGAAAGCTGGACCAGCATTATCGCAAATACACTTTATTTCTTGTGACGAACCTATGCTGAAATTCATGTACTTCCTAGTTAAGTAACCGAGTCAGCGTACCAAATAGAACTTGCTTATACTTCTGGCACACGTCCCTTTACATAAGTGATAATGTTGGTTTTCTAATGACTCACGATTTTCGGTAGCTAGAAGATCTATGAAGTTGATATTTAACCCAGTTGTAGAAGAGACTTTACGGTATCATTACTGATGAAGGACGACATTTCCTTAGCGTATTTTTTCTTTCGAGTCTATTTAAAAAATTAAGTATTCCAAAAATTCTATTGTTTGTTGGGGTGGAATAACAAGCCCGCCCATTGTTGATGAAGATCTCTAGGCATCATAGTTTTTATATTACTTGGCGAAGGACATTATAAGCGGAGATCTGTTTGTTTAAACGTATATAGCTTCGGGTGCTTATGGAACTGAACTAAAGACAAATCAATAGGTTCGAATGCTGGCAGCCTTAATGAATTTGCAGCATTTCGTTCAGTTTTCAGCAGAGCAATCATGGTCATTGTTCGGTGACTCTTGAAGAAAATTCTAGATCTGTCTAAATCATATACAAGGCGCACACCTTCTTGTTAGGCTATCGCCATTCTATACGTCACCCGTCGTTCTTTTCGTTCCGCACGTTCTTTCTTGCCCATCTCAATCATAATGTCAGCTGGCCCCTAGTTCAACTTCGATCGCAACAGACTTCTGATCGAGAGTGGCAATGAAGAAGCTGGAGATGAGAAGGATATAGTGGAACCTCCTGTGCTCTACCAAAGAGAGTCAACTGAGCGAGTAGGAGAGAAAACGAACCCGTTGATTGTGTCGGTGGTGAGTGATCAGGTGATGTAATGTCACATAATCCTTTTCTGTTCAATGAAAGCAAGATTGGCATAAATGAGCCATTAGTAAATCCGATTGCAGAACCGAGAGAATTTTATGAGTTATTTATGGCCGATGTTTGAGTGCTGGAACGGATAAATGTGCTTTACAGAATGATGTATTATGTGAAGCGACAAGTGTTGATGATATGAAAACATTCGATTATTCCCTTAAGGAAGAAATTGTCCAGCTGCCACATCTGAGGGAATACTGGAGTACGAATGAGTCTTTTCTTCTCAGATCAACCCATTGCAGCCCGTGTTATAACGAGGAACTTGAAAACCCATTGACAAATCCTCATTTCGCTCGACAATGGAAGTAGTGATTAACAAAACAGGTTTCACAAGATTAAAAATGGATAAAAGCTCTTGGTGTTGATCAGTCCATTAGGGATGCGTCATGGATTCGACTTCACTAAGCATCATTTGGAGGTGATTGAATGCATATCTGGCCATCACAATAACTTGCGGTAGCCTGCTGATGCATCGAGTCAATGCTACTATCCTCCTAGACAAATCTGGCACCAATTTGCCGACCCCAAATGGATGGAAGGGGTTATGGGCCAGGGGAGCGGGAATCGATCCCATGTGTATTGCAGGGCGCTTCCGACCACTGCACTGCACGCGCCCCAAATTCAACAAGATTAAGCCACTAAATGACTTCAATAAAAACTCCACTGTGATGTGGAGGCCTGAAAAGTATGGACGTATTGACGAAATAATCGTGCCATTTGGAGACATAGTCGTCTTCAGTCAGCACATCCCGTATGAGAGGCATAAGTACTGAAATCAAGCTATTCAAACTTCACAAGAAGTGGAAGCACGTACATAATTCTGTTATATACTAATAGCGATCACTACATAACTAAAGGTTTATCAGACTATGTGGTGTCGAAGCTCATGTCTAATTTGCAAGAGGAAGGTATATCTACACCGATCGTTGGTACATGAGTCTTCCTTTGGTCTCGAAGAGTTATTGGGAAAACAACACATCATATTTCCAACCGTAGAAAAAAAACTTCCTAAACAAGTCATCCACTGGAAGTTGGACAATGGACAATTGATAGCGCAATAGAATCTGAGAGATATGCCTGCCATGAAGTAGAAAGATAAGAAGTGAAAGATTGTCATGCTATTTAACGATAGGGCAATAGGTTGCTCAGCATGCTAGAAAGGGAAGCCTTAGCGCAGCTGCTCTAAGAAGCATCGTTATTCAGAATGTTTCATTGGACGTCATACATGTGTACATCATCTGTTCGATCTTCTACGTTAAAATTATTTATTGTAAGCTAGAACTACTATGCGTTTTATGCGAGACTTGCCGAATATAGGTAATAACTGAAAGTTTTTATTGTTATTGTGGCTCTCGCTATTGCTAATAGTTATTATCGCTGAATTACACGTTGTGCATATATATATATATATATATATATATATATATATACACAACGTGTAATTCAGNTATTGTGGCTCTCGCTATTGCTAATAGTTATTATCGCTGAATTACACGTTGTGCATATATATATATATATATATATATATATAAACGGGGCTTTTAGAGCAGAGACCTAGAACTTCGCTTCAGCCTCAATTGCTCTTTTCGAGGACGGATTCTCAACTGTAAATATATGACTTTTTGACATCAGAAACACCCTCCTTGTCGCCATAACAGAGGAAACCACAATAGTTATGCAAAGTACCCATGGAGACGGTGTGAAAATACACAAGGAAGCACACGTCGAACTATGAGCCACTCAATGTGGAAGAAATTTACGGGTTAAAAGGTTCTATCTTTAAGCACAGTTACTCAATAACCAATGCATATGGATGATGACAAAATTTGGGGATTTTTCCCTAAGAGCTATTACGTAATGATTCAGTGAACTAAACTGACGCAGGCTGATACAAATATTTATCGAGGTATCTGGGTTTAAGAGTTTTTTCATACGATTCAATCAGCTCCACGATGAAGTTGATAAGCGTCCTATATGGGAAACGATACTGCTGAAATCCGAGTGTGCTCCTTCCATAAAGGACAGAGGGCAAAGTGCTCGGCGTTGATCAATCCCTGAGTAATGCGCCTTGCATTCGACTTTATTAAGCATCGTTGGAGGTAACTGAATGCATATCTGGGCTATGCAACAACTCGCAGTGGCCTACCGATGTGTCGAGAAAGTGCAGCTATCCTTCATACAAGTCTTGTACCAATTTATCTGCCCCAGATTGACGGAAGGATTGGTGAGCCTGCGGCGCGGGGATCGATCCGGTGACCACGTGCACGTCGGAGGGCGCTTCTAACCATAGTGCTATACGTAACTTTATTTTCTGAAAATCTTAAATTTGACAGCAATGGCCACAATTATACATAGAGATGAAATAAGATCAATGAATCTGTGAATACAGTTGAGAGAACAGCATGCGAAGACGAGATCCTGCAAGTCAAAAGATGGCAAGGAACACGGTGATTGATTCCTTTGATGTACGACCAACCAGAATTTATGCATTATGAAAAAGATTTAATGTCTGCAGAGACTAGAAAAGACTATTTAGATTACAGTAAACATGAGACCATCACAGGATAGAAAGTTGATACGAAGTAGGACCAAATGTGGAAATCAGTTTGAATACCGAAGAAAGCAATTCAGATGTATAATCCATAGACGCAAAAATTAATGGCAACTCAATTAATAAACGAAATGTTACCATCTTTAAAACATTTCTGTAGGTAACTACCGCAGTGGCTACTCAGGAATTTCATTCCTGGTCCGATTCCAAAATCTTTGGCAGGAACTCATTTATATTTGCGAATACAGTTTCTGATTTTGTATTTTTACATTACGCGGTCTAATCCTTTAGTTCTCTCCACAGTCTTTAAATAAACTCATTAAAATCAGGTTTAAGTAAAGGACTTTGCTTTCAATGAATTTCAATCAAGTTCTGAGGATAATGATGAGTTGAAATCCTGAATAAGCACAATCATAGTTTCAGCTTATACTCCAGTCAGTTCACCAAGAGTGACGAGAAATCAATAGCACAAGGGACTCGAACTACTAGCTTTGGATATTTTTCGCTTTCACACTACAATTTTTGCAGATACACATATAATGAGGACGAGATTGATTCCACCTTCATACGGATGTCTCATATCAGATATCATTCATCGTTCAACCATAAAACATCTAAACAAGGATAAAAGTGAAAAATGGGAAAAAAAAGTAACCACTAAACAAGGAGACTATCACTGAAGTGCAATATTGTGATGTTGAAAGAAAAATGAAACTGGATTTAAATCGCACTCACAATTTTTGGCGGACGCGAGACGTTGGGGGCGAAACGCATGCTAGCAAATATTATATGGTGTATGCTGACAGATCGAATAACAATCTATGAAGTAGTAATCAATACTAGAATAGATCCGTCAACAGTGTCACGCTCTGCTGCATCTAACAATATGCACACAGCAACGGTCGGTGGTGTTGTTCGACGAACGACACGCCATTATTCTACCTCTACCGTATCATCCAACCCATGACGCCGTCGTGACACTGTGCAATCGAAACATCGGATAGGCACGGAAAAACACAGAACTTGAACCAGAGAAAATCGAAACGTCGACTCTCAGATTTACACAGGTAATCTGACTCTCGCAAAGAATATAAAAAAGAAAACGGAGGACACCTAGTATAAATTTTGATGGATTAAATTTGTGCAATGATTTCCTACTAGGGCTATGGAATGTTCAGCGAATACGGCTATATAACAATATGCTCCACTTTAATTTGTAGAAAAAGCGAATTCGTTGAAATGTTAGCGGTTGAAAAACAAGAAAAAGAACAGGAGTTAACTTGCTGGTCTCAGTTTATCAAAGACGGAACAAAATACCTTGAACCAAAACAATTAACACAAGTAGAATCAGTATTTATCTTTTTTAAAATCTTCTAAAAACTTCTCCAATATTCGTCATTAGGTGGATATGTATGATTTCTAAACGTGAACAGTACAAAGCTAACGTATAATCAAGCATGGGGCCAAAACCACCCTACAAACGCGGTAACTGAGATTTCTGAAAAAATGCTTTTGACTTTTCTGATACAAGAACATGGTTCCTCCAATAAACCTTAATGAAAGCGTAGCTGATTTTTCGACAAGGCAACACAAATGTAGTAAGCCTTAATCTTCGAAGAATTTCTTCGCTGTTTTATCTCTTACACTCACCACATTTTAGTACCGCAATCATGGCTACACCTTTCTCATGTTGCCATCCAACGAATAGGAAAGGAAAATAGATTCAATTGTCCTTCAATAAATTTGAGATGAGTGGAATTTACGTAATTATAAGTATGCAAAGTACATTTGTTTTTAGAAGTGGTGAGCGTTGACTGCTTAACATACTTGACTTCGTGAGAATCGCGCGTTCATCGTGGTGGTGTTCGGTTGGCGAGGAGTTCGTGTCCACGAGAAACTACGCGGTGTCGTATGCGACAAGCTGCTCGTCAGACGGCCGCCGTCCATTCTGGCACGTCTCGCCACATGACCCGACATTGATCCTGAAATCGCTCCCAGAACGGCATAGCCACATATGCCAGTTCGTCGGCACAAGACAAATTGTCGCGCTGTCAATATCAAACAGCGTAAAGTCATGAGAGCATGCAACAATGAATAACACCGCCAGAGTTTCGAAAATGATGAATTGGACAAGGAATGCTGTAGCATACAACATAGTGGCATGATGCTTCAGTGTTCTCGTTTTATTAATGCTCATTGATGGGGAATAAAGCACTAGCAACCCTCAAATGGGGGCAATCAATAGAAGAAGCTCTCTCGAAATGAGTGAAAACAGACCGACACACATCGACACACGCCAACATACATACATACATACATACATACATACATACACGTATATATATACATATACACATACACCCACATACATATATACGAACATAGATAGATAGATAATGGATGGATAGACAGATAGATTTGATAGATAGACAGAAAACACATGCACATATACACATATACATCCACGCATGGATATGTACACTCACATTTGTAACAAAATTGCATGGATGTATACACACACTTGCACTCTATACCTATCAGTGCTATCGCCTTAATTGTGTGTAAAGAAAAATTAGAAAGACAATTACGAGTTTCTAACAACGATGACGATCGAAGCAACATAAGCACAAGACAGAAACGAATGGAGAGTTCATTAGCGTGAACAAGAATCACTTGATGATCAAAGGAATGGAAAGTGATAGAAGTGATTCAATTGATATTTCGGATTATTGAAGTGTCTCTCTCACAAGAAAAAAAATTCATAGAAGACATTTCGAAAGGGGTGCGATGTTATACGGTTTGCAAGGAACGTTAGTAAAGCTGAATTAGAACTTACAGGTAAGAAAATGGATAAGAATAATGAAGACGCTAGTAAATCGGCAAGAAGTCATGTATTACATAGAGTTCTACCCGAATCTCTTTAAAAAAGGATGAGTGCCTGGATGGTGTATTAGTTAACCTGGGTGATTTGAAGCATTTATAAGTATGTTCATACCGAATGCGCACAGCTACATGTTATGCATGAACGTGCAATTACCTTGGTGACAACGAGAATGCATTGGCAGTGCACAGAACGAGCTCTGATAGGCTTTGAAAACCGCTTAACCAGCTCGGCTTGAATTCAGTAGGCAGAACGCTACTCCAACAAAATTGCCAAAACCAATAAGTGACCAGGTGGAAACTCGCGTTCCGTGTAATCAAATTGTTTCCCGTCGAGTTATCACTCCATTAGAATTTGTTTTTGCTGCTGTTGTTGTTGTCGTTAATGTTGTTGTTGCTGTCTTTGCTGTAGTTGTCGTTTTCGTTGGTGTCGTTGCTGATGTTGTTGCTGTTGTTTGAAGAACGCAGTGAGAAATCAGCATCGAAATCCTAGGAAGCTCCAGGCAAAGATCTATGATAAAGTGTAGACAACATTCACTATTGAGAACAGAACTCATCTATATCCTCAGAGAAAATCAATAATAGAAAAAAGTTCTGAAGGATATAAAGCAAATGAACTACAAAATAAAAGTGATAAATGACACCTTTAATGACAATTTTGGCACACAATTGTGAAATTGTGATTTAAGAATTCACTACTAGACTATTCTCGACTTCACACTAAGCGCCAAGTACAAAAATTACACTTTTTACGTTCGCTGTCAGTGTTTAATATATTGCCATGCAAAACATAGTAAGAACTCTACTCGATCGAACTGTTTGAATACTTCTCAAAAAAGTTTGGGAACCTATAGTTACAAAACCTAAGGTCTAGCTCAGATTTATATAATTAAATCATTGGTTAAAAGGTTAAATCATATAAGTCCTATCACCTAAAGATATCAGCACAACACTACGTACATTTGCGTTGTGATGTAAATAAAATGAGAACATTTCCAATGTATTGTGCCCATAGCAAGCCTAATCAAATCAAGGCGAACATTTTTCCGAGTTAAAGTGGATCGACTGAAGCCGACGAAATGAATTTAAACGAATACCGGCGTTAAAGGGCTTGTATGCAAATGAGCCGTTCTGACGGCTTGGCGAGAATGACAGCCTTTAGCCCATCTGGTATCCGTCCATTCATGATGACCTTATGAGGACAATTGCTGATGTGATGAAGCCGATGGCGGCTGCGGCCGTAACGAGAGCGGAAGCAAATTTAGGGATGAGCTCAAGATTGACATTTGCTAAAGTAATGATTCACTCTCCCACTTTCCCAATGCTGAATTTTTAAATTTGTAACTTCCCTTATTGGCACATGTAAAAATGAATCCGAGTGCTAGGAAGTCCGACGAATAAGGTGAACATGAAGAAGCACATATTCTCAGTATAAAGAAAATAACATGGAAAATAAACCAAAATAGCGAAAATAAAACGGCCGCTCCAGTTCCAACTAATTGAAAGCTCAACAAACGCAATGAAGTACCAACCGAAATCCGGAGCGACCACTGCCTCCTTCGAAAGCAGGGAATGATAATGTTGTTGTAAAAGTCCTTCAAAACGCTTGTGGAGAATTCAGAGAGTTGGAAATGAAATATTTATTGAACCAGCTATGTTCTTCTTTTCTGTTGCAAGAATCGATGAGCTTTTGAAGTAGTGGTAAGAAAAAACAGAAACGCACTAATGAAAACAAAGACAGCATTGCTTAATGGATACTTGGACATCTTAGAAAGAAAACATAACATCATCCTACGTATTTTCACATTTTCATGGATCATCTGCTCATAGTTTTTCGTAAAATATCCCAAACACTAAGATTTTCCAAAACGTTCTAGTGCTGCTGCAAATTTCATAAAATTTGGCCTGTTCGGTCAATGTATCTAAGACGGGAGCGACCCTCACCTAGGTAACACGTAAACGAAAATTTCTTCAAATTTCATAACAAATACATGATATAAAAGCGCAAGAGCATACACGTATGTTGCGTTCGGTATTGATCAATCCCTGAGGGATGCGCCATGTATTCGACATCATTAAGCATCGTTAGAGGTAAACGAATGCATCTCTGGACCAAACAGTGACATGCGGTGGCCTACCGATATATCGGGTCAGTGCTTCTATTCTCCCCGACAGGTCTGGCACCAATTTTCCAAAAGTGAAGGGATGACGTACTCCTTAATCGTTTGTGGGGTCGAACCTGGTAACCATGTGCGTAGCAGGTCTCCTCTAATCACTGCACCACACGCACTCCCTCTGAGAAATAAAAACTGATGAAGATGGTTACTGTACACTTTTGAAGCTCGTATAGACGATAGGCAGCTTTCGACGTCAATTGGTAAATGGACTCATAAGGGAGGATTTGATGCAAACAAAACCGATAATCCGATGGAAAAAGGAATAGAGACGGTGAATGCGCAGATGCGAATTGGAAAACTAATCCAGTCGTGTCGTTCATTTTGTTTCCTAAAGGCATACGGATCACATCAAAGATCAACTTGTACTGTAGGCGCTTGTTAGACCAATAAAATCAATAAATCATAAATCTCGAAAACCAAAAAATTAATAAAAAATACATGGTAATAATAAAGCTATATACAATAATCTTCGACGGGAAATGAAAAGTATTCGATGAGCGATCGTTGACTCTGACAAAGAACGTTAATCATCAACCGCGTTTCCTTTGTAGAGGTATCACACATGTACTTATGATACTCAACGCCTCAGGTTACAACTGTAGCGAAGCAAAAATGTAGAACACTAAGACACGTCTCCTGGTAAATCGGAGTGTTATAGTATTAAAAAGATAATCATGAAATAAAATCTATATTGATAATAAGGGTTTTCTGACAACAACATGAAAAACGAAATCTTATTATCTTGTCATATCCAAAATATTAATTGACTTTGTTGTTTTCCCTGTTTTACAGTCACTAGCTTTTCCCCTACTTCCTCCAATTGGTTTTGTACATTTGTATATATATATATATATATACATATATATATATATATATATATATATATATATGATCATATTTAATGTTGTAAAGATCGGAATAACTACATTGGCTCACCAAGTCCAGACTCCATCGGTTTCCAAGCCAATCCCATCTATCTTGAAAATTTTTCAATGTAGAAAGGTGTACAGAAGCGACATTGAAAGCAATGTTGTTTGTTTTGGAATTTAGGATTCCATAAATGTTTCGTGATACCAGGTTAGAAAGCCTTGTAAGCTTTCCTTTTTTTTTCGACAAGGCTGTTCACATAGTCTTTAACTGTTCTTTTATATCCCACTTTTCACTGAGACGTTTTACCATGGATGCTGAATTCATACTCACCTGAATAACTATGTAGTACTTTCTTTCACATGAAGTCAGTGTTCATTTTTGTTTCTTCTTTCGAAAATATTTGGTAACTTGGAAAAATTGATAAATGTAACGTATTGTCTCAAAAGTAAACTATTTACTGACACTATTCAACACAGCGTCTTCTTCTCCGAATATGGGCTACAATTCAGCAGAGCGGTCCATAACAGACGAGTACTTTATCAGAACTACGTAATTTTTCTCTAGGAAGCTCTACTAGGATGGAATTGAGCCTGACCAATACTCTGTATGACCGTCTTCGCTACTGCGCTTATTCAATTATATGTGCGTCTAGGGTATTAAATATCGAGGACTACAAGCTATGGAAAAAAAAATAACAGGGTAATCTTCTTGAAGAAAAAACAAACAAACAAGACATGTAGAGAAAATGAAAGACTATGACGTGTAAAATCCAATAATAAACTTCTAATACCTCTCTAATACCTAGTAGACCAGCAGCAGTGGGTGGAGTCACAATGCAGAATTAGAAAGTTCTCAGGTGCCACATTGAAGACAACTACTGAACGAACGTAACCAGAGATGAAAGCTGAACATGCAACAGGAATAACAAACGCCACACCTTGTTCCATTGGAACGACGATGAACCAGCTAGACTATCGTACTGCACTAGTCGTACAACCTACGGATTCCTTTCACTATCACTGTCTGCGGTACTGAAGCATTACATGCTCG